ATCATGCTCGCTTTTTCAGCCGTGGGATCGTTATAATGTGACGGTCAGTTCCACTATTCGTTGTTAAAAGAGTAGCCAAAGAGTTGACGGTGGGTGGTGATGACTATCTGCCTTCCCTCTAATCTTACACTGCTAAATCCGGGACGGCTAGCGCAGATAGCTCATGTGTAGCTGTGCGCGAAATTCAAAACAAACAGAATCTAAAAGATTCATGTTAAGCCCAAAAGCTTGCTGATGTCTTATATATTTTCATGACAAGATTGTTAGTACACTATGGATTATCTGTAGATATCGACATTTTTAACGTTATAAGCGTTTATGCTTACCGCTGAGCCACCGAGGGGCTCACGAGTAACGGTAGTGGTAGGGCAAGCATGTGCAGATTGAATTTCATTAACTGTTGATCCACGAGCTCATGACTGCTGATTGAGTTAGCTTTTACCATCTTTGCCCAAGGAAGAATATTTACTCGTAAAAACTTATTATCATTATTTTTTAATTTCGTAAAGTTTACAGCTTTATTTTTTCATCAGAAGTGATAGTAATTAAATTAACTATTGTATTTTGTTGTAGAATATTTTCCTTAAACTAGTTTGCCATTTTGATTTTCATGTTCTTGGTGCAAAAATAAACATTCATCATATAATTTAATGATCATGATATGCCTATGTACTTTTCTGCTTCTCATAATTTTGTTGGTTAAAGTGTAGCCCAAGAGTTGGCGGTGAGTGGTGATGACTAGATACCTTCCCTCTAGTCGTTCACTGGTAAATTAGGGACGGCTAGCACAGATAGCCCTCGTGTAGCTTTGCGCGAATTTCAAAACAAACAAACTCGTAATTTTACATTTCAGGCAAGGCGGGAGGCGCATTTTTATACTATGAAATGTACCATAAAATATAATACTGTTACGACGGCGGAAGTCACGTGACGCTGGTAACACGTAATGAGTTCTAGAAAGATCGGGGAACATCACGAATAATCCAGTATTTGCTAGGCGCCCGCTATTCTTGTATATAAGTGCGCCAGACAATTAATCGAGATAGAATTGCAGACAGACAGAGACAGACAACTGAGTCAAGCGCGGTAGTAAGTAAGTGCGTGAATCGTTCGCTGAGAATTATAACGTGTTTTTATAAAATTTGTTAAGTTGAATTGGCTGTGGAAAT